CTCCTTCGTACTACAAAGAACGCAAGATCTATCCGATAAAACCCCTCTTATAAATAATTGGTCTTTAGTGGGGATCCTATTAAGGATGAATCTCCACCCAAATATAGAGATATTATAAGGGAATTTAATCTCCTAAAGATGTTTTATTGGTGCCGCTGTGTTACTGTCAAACACGATAGCATAATTTTCTCTAAAACGTTCATAGCAAGATTTGATTGAAAAAATACCTTTGTGGCCAAACCTCCGGCCGAAACTGTCAGTGGCACTACTGTCTAGCGACTTTCCTCGCAGCAAATCCTTGAACTGCTCCCAATATTTGAGTCAACAATAATATGATACATTGCAAGTGAGTAAGTGAGTATTCAATGTTTAGAAAAGAATTTGACATTGAAATTTTCACACACTTTCATATTCCTTATATATAGTTCCACTTATTAATTTATTAATTTACCTAGAAATTTTGCAAATGAAGCAAACTAACTGCCAATGTATTTTGCAGATCAACAAAGATGAAATGATTGATCAAATAAGAATGAGAATGTGGTAGAGTTCTTTGATTGCTCTGATATCATATTAAGAAATCAAAATGAACATGATGAAGAAGTGAATTCTCACCAATTTGAAACTATTACAAGGTTCATTTATATACACAATCAATTGTTTCTACCATAAGTTACTTTATATAGCCTACACCATATAATTACTTGAATAGTAAGTAACTGCTCTAACAATTTCTCTAATCAATTCCAAACTAAATGGAAGTTAGTTATTGTTTTGTAACTAACTAACACATATGTATTGACTTCATTACTTTAATCTTCAACATTCTGTAAAGCATTACTAGTTTTATGTTCTATGTGCTTCAATATAAATCAAAAGTGATTATTGAGTTGAAATGATTTCTTAACCAATTTTATATATGAAATCTTACGTGCAAGTAGACTATCCTTGAAGTTTTCTTAGAACCCTTAAGATGTGGGTTGGTACTTGGGACCCATATTCATATACACGAAAAAACTTAGATGCAAACAAACATAACATTTATGATGAGAATTTTGATATTTCAGAAACTCATTCTTTCTCAACAAATGTGACTACATTCATTGAAGAAAATGAAGGGGATGATGTGCATGCTATTCGCATAGACCATGAAGAAGGGATATGGGAGGACTAGTAAGATTTTTTTTATAAGTTAATTCCATGTTACTTTATTTTCTAATTATTTTTATTTTGTGCTTAATTTTATTTCTAATTTTTTTTATTTGTTCTTAATTTTATTTCTAATTATATTTATTTTGTGTAAACAGATACATGGGTGATTCAAACGACAATTCTTCTTCATCTAGTAACCCCAATAAAAGAAGAGTTAGAGGTCCCACTTTCATGACACAAATTGACAAAGTTCATCAAACAGGTGAAAAGATAAAGGTCGAGTTTAATCCAACAACCTATGAATGTATTGGTGTTGGTAAAAGTGCTACACATTTTATGAGTTATATAGCATGTCTTTCTCGACAGCACTGTGGTATTGTGAAAAATGATTGGAAAGAAGTAGATGAAGGCGTAAAAGATGCTATTTGGACTGGTATTCAGATGTTTTAAATACAACACTTTATTATATTTTATAATCATATACTAATTAACAACATATGACATATATTATATTTGTAGGCTCATTTCACTATTCCAGAATGTAAAGATCCAAAGAAGGATAGGTTGAAGAAAGAATGGATTAAATATGCGGGAGATCGATGGAGAGGTTTTAAGACACAACTCACAGACAGATATATTAATCATCCCATAGAAAATGATCCTCCTCCATATGTCAAGTATAACTTTATTACGGAAGACGCATGGAAAGAGTTTCTCAAGATTCGAGATACCCCTAAATTTAAGGTTAGTAGGAGTTATATGTTTTTGTGTGCATAACATTTTTATTATATTTAGTGATTAATAAGTTTTTGAGTTTATAATAGGAAAAAGGTCAAAAGGGTAAGGATAATGTGGCTAAAAATGTATACCCACAATTATTGTCTCGTGGAGGGTATCGCTTGCTTGAGGAGAAAATTATGAAAGAAAAGTCATCATCGGGAGATAATTCCATATTAGATGATAATGGTAGTCCATCTCCACCATCACGCCATGAGTTATGGAAGAGAGCACAACAAAAGAAAGGAGGAGAATACACATCAAAATCTACACAAGAGGTTGCTGAAAAAATTGTAAGTAAACAATGAAAAATACTTCAAGTATCATTATATTTGTGATTGATTAATTGTGGTTTTTGCATTTTGTAGGATTCTCTAGTTCAAGAAGCTGAAAAAGGTGCAATTTATCTGGATGGACGTAGCGATATCTTAACATTAGCCATTGGAATATATGAGCATGCAGGTCATGTTCGTGGTGTTGAAAAATGCCATAAACAAAGCACTTACTTTGGAAGGTCACGTCAACAACAACATATTGACGTAAATTAACAACTTGCAATATTGGAAATAAAACTCAGAGCTGAACTTGAAGGAAAGTTGGTTGAAGAGCGTAAGATGTTTCAACAATCATTAATAGAGACACTTAAGTCTATGGGTTTATCACAAAGCACAGATAATATTACACTAGTGCAGAAATGACTTTTTACATCGGGTGAAACTGACTTTTTACATCGGTTCTGGGTCCGATGTAAAGTCAGGCGATATAGTAAATCAGGGACTTTTTACATCGGTTCTGGGACCGATGTAAAAAGTCTCTTTTTTACATCGGTTATAATATAAGAACAGATGTAATAAACTGTTATTATGCACATTTTAAAAAAAATTGATCCAGTTTTTTACATCGGTTGTAAGTAATACCCGATGTAAAAAGTCCCTTTTTTAGATCGGTTATAATATATGAACCGATGTAAGAAACAGTTATTATGCACATTTTTAAAAAAAATTGATCCAATTTTTTATATCGGTTCGAAGTAATACCCGATGTAAAAAGTCCCCAGTGATGCAACTTTTTACATCGGTTATTATCCCCAACCGATGTAAAAAGTCCCTTTTTGAAAGTTTTTACATCAGTTTTTACTAATAACCGATGTAAAGTGTATGAAATTTTTTTGGAATAGATTATTTATTTTCTGGATGTTTCCCTGTACAAATATAATTTGTACCCATTTTTTCATATTTTTCCAATATCACACAGACTATATTTATGTCGCTATATAGATTTCATAGCTTTCCAACATCACATATATCACATCTAGGTCGATGTTTTCATATTTTTCACAACAAACTTACAAATTGAATAATTGTATTGCAAACTTGTATTGTATTACAACAAACAAACTTACAATTACAAATTCTTCACAAAATATACAACAATATTCAACTATTTATAAGTCTTTTTTCAAAACTTACAATTACATATTATTCACAAAATATACAAAAATATTCAACTATTTATAAGTTTCCAAACTTAAATTACCAATATAAAATCTTCGGTAGACAACACCAAAATCACATTGCCTGACAATAAATAATAACAATTAACATCAGCAAAAAAATCAAGAAACTCAAATGTGCAAAAACCATATGTATTGTGCAAAAACCACAACTTATACAATTCTATAAAATTCACCAAGATAAACTTAATTTGCATGTAACTCAAAGAAACATTTTGTCCAACGAAGTCGCAAATCATACAAATCATCTTGTGTTAATTCTGTTGGGTCATCAAATACCTATAATACATAAATATAACAATATAGAGTTAATTTTTAAAAATTCATATTAAGTCGAAAAATAAAAAGTAAATAACAAAGTAAAGTTATTTTTAGTACCTGCATCTAATTCTCGGTTATATTAGCAGAGACAATATCCAACATATTTTTCATCACATAATATCCACAATCATTAGAGTTATGTTGTTGCCTTGTCTACAATTGAATGACATAATTAGTGAATACTTATCATAAATTTAACTATATAATTACAATTTACATCACACTTACATTGGGATGAAGCCATGTAGCCTTTTTTCTATTTCCATTTGCCATTTGATGAATCCAAAAAGAACTAATACAGAAAGATAAACATCACATAGCTAAATTTACTCGCCAATGAAAAATGACATAACTATTAGTTGTCAATGAAAGTCACATGAAAGATAAAGTCGAAAATTGACATAGCTAAATTTACTCGCCAATAAAAAGAACTCTTAAATTAATATACTTGACCAAGAAAATATTAAGTTTTCAATATTAATTGTATTTTGTTAAAAAAAATTATAAAGTAAGAGAGATTAAAGACAAAAAAAAAATAAAAAATATATTTAATTCTATAATTAAATATTATTAAATAAACATAGAAAAGAACACATTAATAGAAAATAATATCTAAGGTACTCACTGCTAAGATCACGGTTATAGAAGTTATATCAAAGCGAACAGGCTAGTATGTCTTTACATTCTTGTATAAATACTATTATACTATAAAAATAGAATTCTAATCAATTGGCTTCTCGAGCAATGAAAATAAACTCAATTTTTTATTAGCATCCAATTCAAATATGGAAATAGTAATATTAAGAATACGTAACAATCCATTGAAAATGAATCAAAGGGTGTCTGAATGCCTCATATAGGCATGGAAAAAATCATAATCAGTATGGAAACATTGCAGAATTGGTTGTATTAATTAAAGATGTTATCCACTTAGGTTTATTACCCATGTGATGTAAGTATCAATGTTTATCATTTTATACAACTGCAAACAAAAGAAGAAAAAGAATTGTCGCATAGTAATTTACACTGATGCACATAATAGATCAGATTCTCAAACTTAAACATTAGATTAATATATTGGACAGAGCAATAATCTGACTTAGAGTAGTTCTTTTGTGATACCGTCTTTTCTGCTGTAAACTATAGAGAACAAACAAAACCGATTACCTAACAATTCACAACACAAAAATCATATGTGCAGCAGATAAATCAATTTTCAACAGTAAAAATGACCAATCTATACCTCTTTCTGGACAGCCTCTTCCTTTTCAGATAAAATGAGCTCAATGTGGCATGGAGAAGACATGTAGGCTAACAAAAAAAAACAAATATATAAGACATAGTATATTCAAACAATAAAGAATTCATTCCGAGACTAAGAAAGGCTCAACATACGATTGATTCTTCCATGAGCCCTGTAAGTACGACGTCTTTGCTTTTGAGCTTGATTGACCTGAATATGAGAAACATAGAGAGCATCCACATCCAAACCTTTCACCTGGAAATAGTCAACAATCAATAGAACAACGTCATTGAAATTTGATTTAAAACATAAAAATGCAAGTAAATACATCATATATAAAACTCAATAACAAATACAAAATACAAAAGACATACTTCAGCGTTACTCTCAGCATTCTTGAGCAAATCAAGGATAAACTTAGCAGACTTGGCAGGCCAACGTCCTTGCCCATTGGAATGCCTGTTCTTGGCTTGGGCTGTCCTCCCAACACCACGACAGAAGCGTCAGAAAGGAATGGCCTGTTTGTGGGCCAAAACATCTTCCAAGTATCTTTTGGCTTTGGTGAGTGGCAACTTCCTGATGGCAAACGCGGTTTCCCTAGTGTTCTGCAAAGGAAATTAAGGAAAAAAAAACAAAATCTCACATTCCTGATATAAAACCATAGTAAAAACAAAACAAGTAAACAAATCTAAAGTAAACTATCAAGTAAAAAACAAAAAACTATCTAAATAGATAAAATCTAATTTTTAACACAAATTTAGTAGCTTAACTATTGCCCCCTAATTACTAGTGGATATAGCATATGAAATATAAAAATGATAAAGAATCTCAAGAATTAAACACATGTTTAATTACTAAAAAATCTAATATTTTCGATTCACTATGAGTGATGAACAAAAAGGTGAGAGAAATAAGTACCTTGAAATGAACCCTAAGGTCGGCGCCTCTGGCCTTGGTTGCTGCAATTACAACAGAGAAACAATAATTAGGTTAAATTAATCTAAAATCAACACTTCAATTTAAATACTGATTTGAACGAAAGGTAATCATCATACACAAACAAAGAAAGTATAAAAACTAATATGAATCAAGACGACTAGAGGGGATTTACATTTGGTGGCATTGTCGGCCTCTTGGGAGTACTTCACCATGGCTACCTTTCTGCGAAGAATTGATTTCGGAGGAGGCTGAAAGGAAGACGATTAAGGTTTAAACGATGGTGTTTTTCGGTTTATAAATGTTCCTTATTTCATGCAATTGATGGGCCTAGTTAGGGTTAATAGAGCCCCAAAATAAGGAACGGCGGCTGAGGTTTGGCGCGATGGTGATGGTGAGCGGCGGCTGAGGTTTGGTTTGAAACGGCGGAAAAACGAACGGAAACAGCGGTCGAACGGCGGTCGAAAACCTTCGGAAACGGCGGTCGATGATGGTGGCTGGGAAACGGCGGTGGTTGGATCGTGAGCGTGAGCGTACAGTGGCAAGGAGTGAAACGGTGGTGGTTGGGTCGTGAGCGTGAGCGTAGAGTTAAAACGGTGGCCAAGGAGAATATTATACAGTGGAAATACTGAAATTTGTGAAATAAGGGTTTAACAAGTTATTACCTCGGTGGAATAGGATAACCGATGTAAGGGTTGGTTTAGTGGACAACCTATTACATCGGTGGAACCTTACAACCGATGTAAGGGTTTTGGCTTTTTTACATCGGTCCATTGTAATAACCGATGCAAGCTGATTTTCTGGCTTTTTTACATCGGTTTATACTTCAACCGATGTAATAAGTTGCGAAAGAATTATTTTATTCTTTAATTTATTTTTTATATTAATATCTATTGTGAAGATATTACATCGGTTTCTAGTCAATCGATGTAATATATTGCATGTTTTTTTTTAATATTTCTACTACCTTGTTTCTTATTTACAAAAATGCCATCGTATTTTTTTCTGAAAACTTTTTACATCGGTGGATGCGTTTGCCCGATGTAATAGGTAGCGAAATATATTTTTTTCATATTTTTTATATCATTGCAAATAAATACCTGATGTAAAAAGTTTGTTAGTTGTATTTTTTACATCATATATTTTGATACCCGATGTAAAAACCTTTTCTCAAATGTCTTTTTTTTAGTAGTGTTAAATGCATTGAAAAAATGGAAATTTTCAATGGAAGCGGAAAAGGAAGTTGTTCAGCTGCAAAAGGAAGCACAAAAGAAAGCACAAAAGACGTGGAAGTTGATGATGTTCAGAGATTATTACTCATGGTTTTGAAAAGGGATGACAACCATTTAGAAATACAATTAATTCATTGTGCGAGTGTCTCTAATTTTTAAATTTCAGCTAAGTGTATCAGAGAGTTATTGGGGGATTTAGGTCATTGGCTTGACGTGTCTATTCTGCAAATTTGGTGCACGTAAGTACATTTTATTATTTTATTAAAGTCAATCTCTATTAATATGTTATATCTCTCATCACTTTGATTCTAATGTTTATTTTAAAATTATTCAGGTATATTCATCGTGTATGTCTTGAGAATTCTATTTCAGAATTATATGGATTTATGGACCCTGCTAGATGTATATATAATGATAATGGAGCGAAATCTCAAGAGGATGTTAAAAATTACGTACTAGAAAAGTTACGTGATAAAAACAGAGTGTGCCACTTATTACCATTAATTCATGGGTAAGAATTTTTATGAAACTATGTTTTATATTTAATTTTGATAACATATATATTTTATGTGACTTTTCTGTTTCCACACACACGTACAGGAGACCTTGGAAATTAATAGTCACACTACGCCAAAAACTAGCTTTAGCAGCACATAAAAGAAAGCGCTTTTGGAAAAAAGCGCTGCTGTAGGTTTTTAAAAAAAAATCGCTTAAAAAAGCGCTTTTAAAGGGTGCCTTATGAAAGCGCTTTTCAAAAGCGCTTCTAAAGGTTACCCTTAGAAAGCGCTTTTTGGGAAGCGGTGCTAAAGCTGGCCTTTCATAGGGTACCTTAAGAAAGCGCTTTTAAAAAGCGCTGCTAAAGGTCAGCCTTAGAAAGCGCTTGTCCAAAGTGCTGCTAAAGCTGACCTTTAGAAAGCGCTTTTAAAAGCGCTGCTATAGGATATGCTACGAAAGCGCTTTTTGATGTAAAAGCGATGTTATAGATGACCTTTAGAAAGCGCTTTTAAAAGCGCTTTCGTAGGTAGTTTTATAATAAATATTAAAACACAATTTTCTATTCTCAATATCAGATTTTCTTCACGATCAAAACCCTAACCCAAAGCTCATAAGTGAAGACACTCTGACTATTTTGGTTATCAAGCCCATCCTCTACGTCTTCTTGTTTTGTTTCTGAATTTCCATTGCTACCGGTTTCAGGAGCAAGTTCCTCTGCCTCCTTGGTTTCCGATTCAGAGCAACATATCCCATCAGAGAACTCAAACGTGTCAAATCGTCAGAAAACAAGAGAAATATATCTCACCGGAGAACCGCTTGCCACAGGAGAACCGTCAGGTGATTGTTTCTTCTTTTCAATCTATACAAAATATTTTGTCCTTTTTGTTTATTACAAAATTTCGTAGCAGAAAACATATCTTAGACTAAAATGAGGCCATGCCATATATAAGAAACAGATGAAATTTGGTATAGGGTAGCCCTTGAGTTTGATGAAACAAGGGTGTACTAGTATATAAGAAACGGACATGTAGAGGGTTGTGCTAATGATGTTGTCTTGTGTTAGTGAATGGTGGTGGAAATTATGATTCATTAAGAAACGGGGTTCCCCATTTCACATTACCATTCATTATTATGTATTTATATATCTATATCTATATGTATATTTAATTAGAGATAATATAAAGTGATTAATTAACTTGTTAATGAGATGGATAAAGAAACAAAAACAACTTTTTAAGGTAACATAATGCATGCTTATATAAAATTGTGAGAGTTAAGAATTGTGATTAGTGACGTAATCATAAAATATGGCACGCGTTTTGCGGAAAGTGAAAAAGTGAAGGGACAAAAAGAGAGATGTAGAAGAGAAAAAGAAAAGAGTATAGTATAGTGGTTGTTGAGATGAAGACATTAGGTATGGGGAGAGTGAGAGAGTCTTTGGTTTTTCTGATTGAGGAAACTATAGGACTCTGATTCATGGTCCAATTAAATATCTGTTATTTTAAAATCCTTGCTTCAGTTATTTTTAATTTTACATTAACAAGTTGTGCATTAGTAAAACAAGCTAAGAGAGAAATAATAGAGAGCGTAACAAAATATTTAATAATGGTAGCCATATTGTTAACTCTATTAATATATTGTTTTTTTCGTGTGCTTTTTATGATTTATTTTGAGCAATGATGGTTTCTTGTTTATGTGTTCTACTCGTCTCTTTTCTTGGTAGGAATGTATTATACTTGTGTACTAAAGTAGTTGATAGAATAAAATGAATTTAGTGAAAAGTTTTGAGTATTGGTTTTGTTATATGGTTGTGCAAGAGCAAGTGCAAGTTTTGAGTATTGGTTTTGTTTTCGAATTTATCATTTACCTCAGATTGACTCAGAAACCGTAAACCACGGATAAGAAATGGATGTATTCCAATCGATTGTCGAAAGAGTACGAGAACGGGGTATCGGAATTCGGTAAGTTTGCTATTGCGCACGCCGAAGACCCCAGTCAAATGACATGTCCTTGTTTGTGTTGCTGTTATGGGAATCGGGTTGACGCGGTTCAGTTGGCATCGCATTTAATACGGTATGGAATTGATAGAAGTTATACATGTTGGAATATGCATGGTGAGAAAAGTGACGGGAATGATGAATCGGGGGATAATAGGACCTATGCTTCAAACGACAATGGCATAGATACATACGATTATGATCGAGTTGAAGAGATTGCAGAAGTGCTTGAAGAAGATCTTAATGATTGTCCTAAAATGTTCGAGAGGTTGGTAAGCAATGCAGAGAAACCGTTGTATAATGGTTGTACAAAATTCACAAGATTGTCTGTGGTATTAAAGTTGTACAACTTAAAGGCAGGCAATGGATGGTCGGATAAAAGTTTCACAGAGTTATTAGCCCTTATGAAAGATATGCTACCAGAGGATAATGTTCTCCCCAATCAAACGTATGAGGTGAAAGAGATGTTGTACTCTATTGGCATGAGCTATGACAAGATACATGCTTGTCCAAAAGATTGCGTTTTGTTTCGAAACGAGTATGCATCATTAAATGAGTGTCCTAAATGCGGTGCCCCTCGATATAAGAAAAAGTTGTCTCCGACAAAAGTCTTATGGTATTTTCCTATAATTCCGAGATTTAGACGGATGTATCATAGTGAAACCGATTCAAGACACTTAACTTGGCATGCAGATGAAAGAATTGTTGATGGAAAGTTTCGACATCCGTCAGATTCACCACAGTGGATGAAAATTGATAATGATTATCCTGAATTTGGAAAAGAAGCAAGAAACCTTTGCTTGGCATTGTCTACTGATGGAATGAACCCACACGGTATTCAAAGTATCTCGCATAGCACATGGCTTGTGATTCTTATGATTTATAACCTACCTCTGTGGCTATGTATGAAGCGTAAGTACATGATGTTATCTATGTTAATTTCTGGGCCTAAACAACCAGGAAATGACATAGTCATATATTTGGAACCTTTAATCGAAGATTTGAAGATTTTGTGGGAGAACGGTGTGGAGGTTTATGATGGGTATAGGAAAGAAAGTTTCAACTTGAGGGCGATGTTGTTTGGAACAATTAACGATTTTCTAGCCTACAGAAATCTATTCGGGTATAACATTAAAGGTGAAAAAGAGTGTCCTATCTGTGAAGATGGAACCGATACGATGCGATTGAAACTTTGTCCGAAGAATGTCTTTCTCGGTCATCGTAGATTCTTAAATTCTAAACATCAATATCGTGGATGGAGAAAAGCGTTCAACAGAGATACCAAACAACGTAGAGCTCCGCCTGGATTGACAGGTGATCAAATATTTGAAAAGGTGAAAGATGTGAGTATTCAGTTTGACAAGCCTTTTGCACATAAAGTTGTCACAGGTGGGTGGAAGAAGAGGTCGATTTTTTTTGAATTGCCATATTGGAAATCTTTGTACGTAAGACATTTTCTTGATGTTATGCATATTGAAAAAAATGTATTTG